TCCCTGAGTCCTGTACCTGGAAGTGTAAGATAATGCCCAGCCTGATGTCAAAGGTGCAAGCTGTCAACACGAGAGTGAAGCACTACTGTAGGCATGCACATACATGCGCACACACACACATAGTATTTATAAAACTGCTGCTGTAAGGGATTTGGGGTTTATTTTCTTAATTAACTGAAAATGATAACACAAGAGCTTTCATCTGGCATGAGCCTGGGTTTCATCAGCTGCTGGAAAAAATTCTTTTGGAGAAATGAAATTACAGTGTTTCTCCATGTACTTTCCGTGGATTTCAAAATAAACACAGCTATATGATCATGGCAGTTAATAGACAGATGTAGGTAAACTTACAGGTCTTGATACATCTAGAAAGAGGCTGCAGAGCTAGACACACAATCTGGCAAAGACATCATATTGGCTAAACAACAGAACGCCCAGTTAAAGAAAGTGTGAAGCACAAGTGAAAAAAACTGGCAAGGGCAGTTGCAAAGGGTGCCTACCTGCTGCACCTGGATATTGTGTTATACACCACATGGCATAAAAGACAGTTACTTGATGCTCCTTCTCCTCATCCACATTTCTCACCATGTCAAGTTTCTCTAACAGAACAACGCGTGAGAGCAGGAAACTAAAAATGATGCAGACGAAGACTTCAGAACTGCTTTTGTTCTATGCTACACTTTAAAATCAGCAGTTGCCCTGTGAATCAGTTACCCCCTGCCCCTCCCCAAAAGTACAATTTGACAAGATGGTAAGCAACAGCCCTGAGTATAAAACTTACCCTTTCCGAAGGCACTGTGAGGTGCAGCCCATACTAAATAACGCCACTGCTAGCTGCCACTTTGGTTTTTCTTCTCATAGGGAACCTTTACCATCCACGGTCTCTTGAACAATTATAAAAAAGGAAGGGGGGATGTCAGCAGGGCCTCTAGGAATCTAGAAATTCCTACCTCTTGTCCCCATTTCATGCTCCAAAACACATCAACTTGATGCATACTTTTGCTAAGGGCTCAGAAGATTATTTCACAGGTTTCAGGGTGTAGCAAAGAGAATAAAAGGGATTTCGCCATTGCTTTGATTTTCTGGTTGGCAAGGTCAGTGCAGTATTTAAATGTGATTATTTAATGATATATTAGGTCACTACCATGTTTTTGTAAGTATAATTAAACTGGTAGAGTGCCTAAAAGTTTTTTAAAGACTTATTGTTCATTATTTTTTACATTTAAGAAATAGTACTCTAAATAATGGATTGAGATTAAAGAGAGATTGAAGTTTTCCAAGGATTCTGATGAATCTGGTTAAGAAAAGAACTTTGGAACTACAGATAAGGAAAAGGAACAGCTCAGTCATCAGCTGTCTCAGACACAAGATGACAGCTGTACATATGTGAAGATGGAAAAAGATTAACTCCTTGGAGGATGCTCATGCACATGAGCATTGGCAGATCTGACACTGTCTGGAAGAGTCGGGACTAACTGAATACAGGTATCTACTCCACTGAAATTATTCTTTGGGGAACACATTCCTGCAATAATTCCTTTCCATCTCCACCTTCAGAGCTATTAAATCTAATTTACTTTCCTTCACCTTCTCTGCAAGTCAACATTGTTTGATGTTGCACAGGACAACGACTTGAGAGGTCTCCACTTATACCGATAAACTTATCTGTTGTGTAATGGAAAATGTGGCATTCCAAATGATTGTAAAAGTAGAGACAGGCAAATAAATCAGACATAAAACCACTTCTATCACTGTTCAGTGTAGAAAATTGTCTATGAAATCTGTTATCAAAGAACAAGGCAGGTTACTACACTATCAGCACAGTGAGTCTTTGATATGAAACTGAGGTTTTATGTTGGGATCCTGCTTCTGTTATATAAAGCAAACAGAGGCTTTACCTACAATAGAGAATAAGGCCAGATTCATCTCAGCTATTTGAGCACCACAAGCCTTCATAACCTGTGGTAACATCCTGCACTACATGAAGCCAGAAACATTCTTAGAGAAAGGATTTTGCAGTAGGCTTCATTAAGTAGGCTATGATAAGATGCTCAAAGATGAATTAACAACAAGAACCTGAAGCTCTGCAAAACAATGACCAAAACTAATAATATTAGAAACCAAACTGTGAGTAATTCGTTGAGTAACCATGAGTCTTGCTCTGGCTAGACTCACTCAGCAGAGTTACTGTCAGCGTAAGCAAGTAGTAGACAAGCACTCCAATGGCAGGCACAGAATTTACAGCACTGCCAACATCATAAGTATCTACTGGCAGGTAAGAAAAGCAGTCTCTAATGAAAAAAGCTGTTCAAGGAAGCTCCATTTCTTCAATTTGACATAAATATAGGTGGAGGATTTCTTCACATTTTAAATATCACACACATATGTCATATTAAGCTAATGTTTTAGAGACTCTGCAGGAGTTAACTGTATGACCTCAGCATCAGCCACAGACAGACTTACAATGTGGACTCTCAGGTACAAAGTAACTCAAAGAAAAACACTCAGGAGCAAAATAAAACACATACTAAAGTGAATTTCCAAACAACACAGTAAAGATAGGATCAGACGCATCAAACTCTCTCTTCCATTTGTGAAGCAAAGATTTTAATTTGAAATACAGGCAAGTAGGAGAACAGAACTGAAATCACTTTAACTGCCTTATTAAACATGTCATGCAGACAAATGCAATAGATGGGGAGATGCAATGGATAAGAGCTTAGCTGAACGTCAGTGACGGTGGAGGAGACACACTTTCAATGGATAAATTAGCCTCCTACCAAGACAAGCATCTGCTAGGGTCAAATGTGTCTCAGGATGTCTGATAGTTCTATCATTCTCAATGAACTTGCTCCACTGCCCAGAGGTCCAGCATGTCTTGCACATGGGGGACAGCTGAATAATCCCATCTATTAGTTTGCTTGCAGGAAAGTGAAAAAGATTCCTCAATAAGTTACTAAAGCAGCAGTCAGACATCTGACTAGTGCCTGCTAGTTCAGAGATGAACAGGAGAGGGAAATCTTTCCTCTGATCAAGTAAATAATTTCAAAGGGCCATTTGTTCCTGGATGGCTAATGAACCACAAGGAGTATAAAGAAATGGCTATTTTTTCCCTGAAAAACTACTAATATCCCAAGGATGCACTGCCTCACAATAACTGTTTAACTGTCTCTTGCAGGTAATAAAGTTGACTTCTGCTCACATACTCCACTGGTTCAGCA